GACGAAAACGTTTTCAACGACCCCGGCGAAGTAATTTTGATAGGAGAGGGCTTGATGGATCCAGTCTGTGTGTTTTATGGCCTTACGGACCACATGCAGCGAAGCCGCGAAGGATTAAGGGGATAAATTAAGCGCACGCGAGATCGCCCGCCGAAATAAGCTTTCAAGGCGAGCCGAGTTTCGTAAAGAGTTTGGTGAATGGTGTCAGGCTAGGGCCTATTTTAAATCATTCCAACAAGCAAGTGGTCCCGCAGTCTGCATAATTACAGGAGCCAATACGAAATTACAAAGTCGTGCACATAATACGTTCAAACGAATGAGATATTCGTCATTCATTTACCGGGACAAGGTGCCAACAAGTCGCAAGGTTAGCTGAAAAGCACCCGTGTACATACGCATGCTGCATGTCATCACATCCACCAAGGATAGGACAGACCAGAATGCTCTTGAGTTTAAATGGTAGAAAGCTGCGCCCGGCTGCTCTCGCTATTCCTACATAATTAGCTGTTGTTTTATCACATGCTCTTTCTTTTCTCCATGATGATGCTCCACTGTGTTCGATGACACATGTAATTCCGGTAGATAATGACAGCATATACAAATTGGAAACCATTATATTGGTCCTGTCAAATATTGAAACATTTCGACAATTTCGACAAAGGTCGGCTGAACAAAACAGCAAACTATTGTAGCCAGACATAATCACTAACGTGGCAAAAGCTTCAAAATTATGTGTTTGTTAAGAAGTTTTGTTTGTTAAAATATCCGAAAATATCGAAGGGTTTCAAGGCTCTACCGCGAAAAATCAATCCTGGGCGTGCACCATCGTCGACCGACGATGCGTCTTTCAGTGTCGACGATGCATCACTGCATTAGTGCCTCCATGGCGCTGCCGCTATCGCTCGCCTGCAAGCGCGCAAACCGTCGCTCCATTCTTCACTCGCAACCGTGCCTACTGCTCCCTCTCTGGGGTGAACTCCACGGCATCATGACCGCCAAATGGCCGCCAGCCGCCCAGTAAGCGTCGGTATCGACGAGCGTCGAGAACGCCGCGTGCCGCGCCTGGCGTGGGAGAAGCGCTCGCCGCGCGGTGACGGCGTCCTGCCTTTGATCAATGTCACGCCGCCGCCGCGAGTGGCGGCGGGAGCTGCCCCCCACCGCCACCATTGTGTGACGGAGCGCGACGCCGCCCCTCGCCGCGTGCCCCGGCCCCGCCGGGCCGGTGATGAATGAAGATAACGTGATGCCCAGACCAAGCGGGCGCGCGCGGCCGAAAAGGCGTCCGCGCTCGACGACTGGGCGCAGTCTTTGCCTCCGCGGCTATTGCGCCCAGTGGATGAGGGATGAAGGTCTCGACTTTTGAATGGGCTGAGGTAGCCCACGGAGATCAGTGAAATGATGGTGGCTGAGATGTGCTGGCCAATGGCGTGGACTTCGTAAATATATGGACCTGGCTGAGAGGTTTACCGATGTAACGATATCGTACTGTCTGACTTCCTCGCAGCTCTATGGAGGGGCTTGGACTAGACAGAACCTAACAACGGTAAACAGGAAACGATAATGATGCTTCATATTTGTATGTACTTCATTCGAACGTCGTTATTCGTCAAAATGTCAAACGACAAAGTTTTCTGGAAAACAGCCAAGTCAGCGCATGATCCACCTCATCGATTTTGTCTTTAATCAACTCATGCGTTATCCCTTTTGTTTTGTCTCACGCCTTTGTCTATATTCACAGACATATATGTAGCTATAGGAATAAACATGCGTGCAGAGCCGGCGCGACCCCATATCCTAAAGATCCCAGCGTGAGATTTGTTTTGGTGGCGCTGACATTATTAGCAACAGTATAACCGCAGGACCTGTAGCTCCTCAGGATGTATGGTGTGCGGTAACAACAGCCACCGTCGCCTCAGCATGTTAACGGTCGCCTAGAATGCCGCCGTCGGCCGGGTCGGGCCACCCTGCGCAGACAGTTACAAAACAGTTTGGGGAGCTAGTTCATGCCAGCTCATGTAGTTCATGTCATTTAGCTAGCTAGCATGCCATAGCTAGTTCATGCCAGTTATCTTTCTGAACTTAGGATAAGATTTTGCTGAATGAATAATGCTATCTATTGATCATTGGATGGAGACTTCGGTGTTAACTGTATAACACTCCTTTGGTCATCATTAAGGTGATCATTACGATATATCAATGCATAGCTTTATCCCGAGCTCTCCTCCCCCGAACGATTATAAATCAGGCAACGTTTGCCATGAACGTCATCAATGGCAAGCAGTTGGCACCAAACCACTATATGAATAGTATAATCCCGAAATCCGCGTGTTCTATATCATGCCAGCACGGCAACGAGCCGAACAATGGATAACAAAAGAACCGAGGGAATTTAGAATGGGAGGGTCTACCTTCAACCACGGTGACAAATTCACATAGCAACGTCGTTGGTTATGTGCAGCACAAGCTGCTGCGGTACACCGCAGCGGCGCGGTGTACTGCATCGGGCTGTACAGGTTCAAACGGCGATGTCAGGACCCGTGTTCATTCTTCGCGTCGGAGTTCTTGCCACCTAAGACAGGGGCAAGCAAATTTGGCCTGTGCCCACTTCACATCCCATTTCATGCCATATCACAATCGTATTCGAGTTCGCGATGAAGGATCATGATCTTCCTCCCTGCAGACTCAGATGACCGCCATAGATATGCAGGCAGCCGTCCGACGGAACTATATGCCAGCACAGGCGTAATGGCCGGGGAACACGAACACAGTGCTCCTCAATGTTTTACGTTCAGTTGCATTTTATACTTAAAGAAGGAGCAGGGCGACACTGGGGCAACCGCAAACAATTATATTTTAAATTGCATGTCACAGCTTAGCAGTGAGAAGATGAACTCGTTAGGGGCGGTTGAAGGGAATGGAAAGCAGCTGACCCCATGACCGAAATGCCTCAAGAGAATATGTGTGGGTGCTGAGTGTTGTAAGGCCTCGAATTCTTGTTTGTTTGTTTCGTAGTGATACTTCCCACATTGCGAAGGAGTGGCAAAAACATCTCACTCTCCACTGACAGTGCTATTTTAACGCTGACTTGCTGCGGACACGACAGGATAACGCGAGCTGCTCACTGACAGCTCACTCAGGTATGTGTAAGGGAGATGACAGCCTAAAACTTTACATTAAAGTACCGATTAAAAAGGCGACGGTTTCGGTTTCAGAGGTCTAAAGCAAAGGAAGTTTTCCCGCGATTGTAACCCATCGAAGAGTGGAGCAGTCACTGAACGAGTACCACCCACGATCATTTAAGACTGGTCCTGGCATGACTCAGGCGGAGCGATTCAGCCCCGCTGTTCGTGGGTTGGTGCTCACATCGGCTCACAGATACAACCAGGCGCATCACAATTTCTTATGTCCCAAAGACAAGGAAATGCCAGACGCGCTGTTTTTAGCAGTTTATCATGGTCAAAAACTGATGTGTATCGTTGCAACAAATGTCCTCAGAAGGAGACATATACCGACTGCTGATGAATTTTGTGGTGAGATGTGAGCGATGAAGTGATAAACCTCAAAAGGCATGTAGGATCCGTACGTCACCACAGGATTGCCCCATACGACAGCAGGCGCGGACATTAACACGCGCTCAGGTGGGGGTCAAACTGCCCCCCCCTCCCCACCCCAGAAGGCTTCCAACCCCCCCCCCCCCAGAATGGTTTCCGAATGGCGCGGCGTGGCCGCGCCACATTTATCATAGCTGTAGACAATTGAATAGCGGATCGTTTGCTTTAAAAGTTTAGATCTACCTTATAAGGTCGCTGACCTATGGCAGGTCAAATTTAGGCCATGGTTTCAGCAAGTCAACTTCTAGGGAATCGTTCCATATGATGCAACAGCGGGGTATTATACGAAGCCATACATCTCTGAGATGCTTTCTTAGGCAACACAACAGTTGAATGAGCAAATAACATTGACCTAAGGTCAGGTATGAAGGTCAGGCTAAGGTCAAAACCAACCTGTTTTATTACCCTGGGGCTTACTGTAGGGGATGGTTTCTGGTGTTCATTTCGAATTTATTGATAACAGGAACCGCATTCTACATCTTCCATGGATTTCTTAGAGGGCAGAATAGGCCATTGACCTAAAATGACCCAGATCAACATTTTGTTTTTAGAGACATACCGTCTAGCGTAATCTTTGTCGCTTATTCCAATGCAAAACTCAGAGCAGTCTTGTATGATTTTGGTCACCATGACCTTCAAAAGGTCAAACAGGGTCACTGACCCTAAGTGAGCATGTAAACTTTTGCTTAGAAACGGTTATCTAGGTCCTGGTGGCAGTAGATACCAACCTGGAATTTGACCTTGTTTGACATTATTTGACAGGAAGTTCATAGCCCAGGAACTTCAAACTTTGACCTAAGTGAGTTAACGTGCAGGTTAAAACACCCTATGAATTTGGTATCTCCAGCTTACTTCGTTCTCGAGTTGCCCCCCCCCCCCCCCATCTCCCCCACCTGATTGAAGGGTATCCAGCCGGCCACCCAGGCGTGTGTTAAGTGATGTGGAAATTTTATTTTGTGTGGCTTATGCCGCCACAGTGCGAGTATGATGCTGCGAGGCTCGATTTCTGACTCGGCAGTCGGGATGTGAACGGCCGTTGAAACAACAATCTTCTGCCCGACGTAACAGTGCCTAATACCGCGTGTTCTATGCAGTGTCGCGGGAACCAGTGAGGCAGTGGGGAGGAGGAGGGAGGGCAGAGAAACTGAGCTCTTCAGGTCTTGGAAATTTGACACATTTTCTATGGGCGTTGACAGAAAAATTAAGAATATTTAACGCCTGCCCTCCATAATATGGGAGGACTTCCAGTACCCCTGATTTCTCGAGTCCGGTTACCGGGTTTACCTACGTCCATACCTGCATAGGTTTCAACAAGTGCAGGCGGCTTTTGACCAGAGTACATGCAATGCCATGCTGCCAAATAACTGTAGCAGACATTTGCTAGCGAGAATGTCGTCCCAGAACGTAAGTCCGTCTCTGTGAACGCACCTTGATGACCGAGGAAGCTGATGCCGTCCCCGGAGATTGTACCGACCGATCCCCGACTTAGCCCACAAAGTGGACAGAATTACTCGCGACCACTGGATCGGTGACCTTTCCGCGGGCGCTAGCGGCCTCCCGACCGCACGAGCCTATTTCGGCCGTCCTGAAGTACGGTCTGCCCGTGTCGAGCCGGAGCCCGGGCTTTGATTGAGCCCGCGTGATTGAGATCGGCCGTCGGTTTCAGCGCTCGGCGAGCGGCTGGTCGTGGCGTGACGTGGGCCACGACCGTCACCTGGCGCGATGCGGCTCTACCGGCTGGCGGCGGCGGTGCTGGCGCTGGGTCTGCTGGCGGGCGCTGAGCCGTTCCCGCCGTCCCGTTCCGGACTGAGCTTCGATCCGAGCCTGGTCGACAGCCGGCGGCCGCCGCCGCGGCAGGGCCGGGATGCCAACAGCAACCTGGCCTTCCTCGGCTTCATCATGGCACTGCTGGACACCGTCATCAATATCGTCTCAATGATCAACAACAACAATAATAACAACAATAACAATGATAACAACAACAACAACAATGACAACAACCTCAACAGTGTCGACGTAAATAGCATGTGAGTTTAATACTACACGGAAAGAGCCGGTGTCAGCCCAACCGTCTTCTACCGTGACTGTTCCTCAAATATGTGTCGCTTTGGTATGTCTCAAAGTGTACTGTACAGCTGAGGCCAACCATGCACGCCATCGTTTGATTGTAAACGTTAACTTCCTGTCAGCATAATAGTCAGCATAATAGGATTCGACTGAGGTGGAGACTGGTTGTGATTTTTCCGCCTCAGGGTTTCATAATAACACGAAATGATCTTTAGGAATATGAACAACAACATGGTGATGGGCAAGATGTCGGGCTGGAGCTGGCTAGACGAGGTGATGTCCTCGCGGCTGGAGGCGATCTGGAGGTGGAGCAAGGCCATCGCGCGGCACCACCCGACGTGCATCACCAGGCTCGTCTGTGAAACGCATCGGATGAGCGACCACCACTCGGGCCTCACCTATCTGGTGACCACTTTCCTAAGGTAGGGCTGTGTGTGAAGGCCTCATATCACCTCACTGCTGGTCCGTTCCATTGGAAAAGTTCCGTGTGTGGTGTGTTTGTTCATGCTCGTAGATGGCAGACTTCGAATTCTAGTTTACGCGGAGTGCGTCCGAAATTGTATTTCGGTATGTTTTCGACTTTGATTTTTTCGACTTTTGCTTTCGTGCTTTGTGGAGACCCCTGGTAAGAATGAATATTTTTCAATGCTCTCTCCAGTCGGCTTCAAACGCTGACATCCAGGCATGGGGAATCACAGCGAACTGATACCAATCCTAGACACTAAATGGAGCCGATCTTCAGCGGTACCTATCAATCGTGCCGCATCTCTGATTGTCGACAAATAATCACGGCGTAGCTCAGACGAACACGTCCGCCGTCATTACCCCCGAGCAAACACCGTGCCGTTCATAGCGAGTCTGACTGAACAGTACACCTTCGTGTTTCCCTGCTGCGGGGACAACTGTTCGGAGGGCTCGGGGAGACCTGTATGCTGCATTGTTCTCGTTCTAGTTCGGCGTCCAGCTTCCTGTTAGCCGAGGCGTTCCAGCCGCAGCTGTCGCTGTCGGATGTCACCGAGGCGGCGCGCTTCGGCCGCCAGCGGCACAACTGCTACCCGCTCCAGTGTCGGCTTCTGTGACGGCGACAAGCTCGGCAGGCGGGCACGCTGACGCCGACACGAGCTAGGACGCGCCCTCCCGCACGCTGCAGTCGTGGAACATCGGGTCACCCGGGAGTTCTCGAGAATGTTTGTAAGGAGGCAGACCGTGAGGTGGCACTGATGGCAAGAAACAGCAATAACACCCAGCAGGGCTACGTCTGGTTGCGTATCAGTGAATCCCTGGCAACACGGACCTGTACCGGCAGAACTCCGCGAACCACACGTTCACGTTGCACTCGTCGATCAGTGGATGTGTGAGGCGTTCAGCCGCACAGCTCAGCTGTGGTGCTCGTCCCCAGCTTCTCCCAAAAGTTCCTCAGCCGTTGTCCCTCGTGTCGCTGCTGTTTTGCATCTGAATATTGTACCGGGCTACTGTCAATGCATACCGGGCTGTCGCATAATTGATGCAATCTGCGTGATTGCCGTTGTTCGTCTCTCTGGCGGCGGCGAATGGACAGATAGCGAGTATGCAGACGGGACATGGTTGCTGTTTCAGACGATGCAATGTTTTGCTGAGTTGCTGGAGCCATACAACGGTGGGCATTATTTTAGTTGTATATCGCCCCTGGGAAATGCGTGCAGGAAGTTATTTAAGTGCCCGGTGAAGCTGATGCACGATGATGTCCGGGCCATGTCGGTGTTCCGATAAGACCGTGTTGCATTATTTTGAAAACAAGTTGCGCAATAGTTAATAAATGATATGTCAGGATCGTTTACCCATC